ACAAGTCAAGAGAGTGCCAGAAAAGTAAGTATTGCACATATTGGTAAAGGAAGGACATGTTAAAAGAGTTGTAAGACCAATTTCACGTCTGGAACTGGACCAAAGCCTACAAAAATTTGCCTGGGTATGCCATGCACCACACCTGCACTCTCCAGATAAAAAGTCCAAATCAGCAAGAAAGGCCCAGACCCCAGGAGCAGAATGATGAAAGGCCAGTTTCTCTCCACTCAATTAAAGCCCACCTACACTCTTGGTCTATAGCCAAGACGTGGTGCTGCAATGCTCTCACTCGATTTTGTCAACAGCCATCCCACCGCACTCAATTTCCCCTGCCCCACAGGCCCATGACCTCCTTCTCCGGACAATCCGTCCTGTTGAGTCTATCAAATGTGGCTGAAAGTGACAAACAGATGTGCATAAAAATGCATAGACTGTGTTAATAAAAAAAGCATAATGTTTTGCATTTGAGTGCACTAAATGCTGATGGCTGAGATCTTAATGGGGTATTTGGGTGTATCATCTTAAACTGCATTATCCGTAATTATGGACCATATGCTTTGCTGCTCTGGCAGTTACGAGGGCATTCCCACCTCCACAAGCATGCGACTGTAATCTTGATGGACCGAGGCGGGCCAACGCTGAAGTTCTCTGCGGTGCATCTGCACATCCAATCGGCGTGTCAGTTGAGACCACTCACTTCTTTTGACAGCCAAATATTGATGCATTTGCATACCACCAGGTTATTTTAAACTACATTCATCAGCAACGAACACATACTTGCTTAGCTGTGCCAAACAAAGCCCTCGACAGTGTTCTGTCCAAAAAAGAGACTATTCAATATTTAAGCCACGGTGAAAATTTCATAAATTAAGAAAAAGACACATCTAAAGCTATCACAGGGAACAGGCTTCCTCCACCCACCCTGAAAAACAAAATGTGCATTTTAAATTCAATGCCAATGAATGGTTAAATGGAAGACAATTTTCAGTGCAGGCTTGAAACATTTTTGCCTCATTAAAAATGTAGTGGAGGAATAACAGGTGCAAGCCAACACAGCGTTCCGGAGCTAAGGGAAAGCACTGATTTTTAATGAGCTTCTTCTACATCGAGAAGTGGGGGAGAGAAAGAGAGCGTTTGCCAGCCACTGGAGAATTGGCCAGAGCTGCTGTTTGTTTACTTGCAGTAGCATAGATAATGGATTCACTCCTGGTTTCTCTCTTTAACAGCCGGGTAAGGTGTGGGGTGAAATTAGTCGTTTACCCTGAGTATTTCTAAATACATTTACAGATAATGAACATGAACATATCACCCAAGAAGTTTAATAGGAAGGAAGTCCAAGCGAGCAAATGTGCACTAAATTGATCCATTTCATCATTTTTTTTACTCCCTTGAATAATTTTTTATCATATCTCGTTTATATGTAGACTATAATGTTGGAAAAATCTGATATATAGCTCACTTCAAAATTAATGTTGCAAAGGCAATCGTGAATATAATTGTGTCCAAAGGGGATTTGTCATTTTAAACGACCCAGTCTATTACATTCTTGCTGTATATTTGGTCTTAAATACTGACCATGAAATAAGATTTAATTTTCCACTTGTATGGAAATAGATAAGAGAGCATGCCAAAAATGGTTCTGATTCAGTCAGTTGATCAGAATGTAATGCAATATAATCTAATGCAGTCACTGTGATTTAAAAATAAATACATAAATAAATACAAATCAAAATTCAATGTAAATTGAAGAATATTACACTTTTTTTGAAAGTCTCAAAAAAGCATTATAAAATCAATCAACCAAACTTTTTCTTAGAATTACTTTTTAAATGTACCTCACACAATATGTTAAAATGAGACTCTGACATACTTCACTAAGATTCCCAGATGGGACTAAATTATGATGAGCTGTATAGCTTTGACATGCCCTGACTATTCTCAAAAGGCAAAACGTTTTCAGACCAATGTCTTCACTTTAAAGAAGTCAATTTTTAGATGTATTTCATCTGTAGGAAGGGTAGACAGACTGTCTGAAAGATCTTTGTGTCAACTTTCCATTTTTAGGTATCATATCTCATATCATATCATAGATTTGACAAAACAAGGTAATAAAATCTATCTACATACCATAACTGGACCCTTGAATTACAGAAGGTCTGATAGCAGGTTGGTAGTTCACATACATTTTTGAAGCATTTAGGCTGCTGTGATATTTCAAGTAATCATAAAAGAAATAAATAAAAAAACAAAATGTGACCCTGGACCACAAAAACAGTCTTAAGTCACTGGGGTATGGGTCAAAATTATCGATTTTTCTTTTATGACAAAAATCATTAGGATATTAAGTAAAGATCATGTTCCATGAAAATATTTTGTACATTTCCTACCGTAAATATATCAAAACTTAATTTTGATTAGTAATATGCATTGCTAATAGCTTCATTTGGACAACTTTAAAGGCGATTTTCTTTGTGCAAAAGATTTTTTTGCACCCTCAGATTCCAGATTTTCAAATAGTTGTATCTCGGCCAAATATTGTCCTATCCTAACAAACCATACATCAATGGAAAGCTTTCAGATGATGTATAAATCTCAGTTTTAAAAAAATACTGGTTTTGTGGTCCAGAGTCACAAATGGCCTGCATTTACA